TATTTATTTTAATAGCAGCAGAGTGCTTTACCTCCCCTGTCATTTTTAGTAGTTTCAAAGAAATAAACATCCTCCACAGATAGTAAATCTCAAAGCCCTTATCAACATGGGGGAATAAGTATTACCTCAGAACATACTTACCCTAGGATGGGATTATTGCTTAAAGCTGATAATATTGTTGAATAATCCTTTTATAAGTATTCTTTTATAAAGAGTCATTTTTAGAGGGAAAAAAAAAAACAACCTGAGAAAGCTGCAGGTATAAACCTTTATTTCTGCTGTTGGAACTGATAGTTTAAGCTTTAATGTCTGTATTTCCACATAATATCAAAATTGATTCATGCCTGTGGTTTGAAATAATTTTTAATACAAAGAAATTAATTTAAATTTTTTCTTATTATTTAGAAGTAAAGAATGCAGCTAGATCAAGTTACCCAAAATGTTCATATCAATTCAAGAATGCAACTACTAATGCATTGATTGATGCCAAGTCAACTGAAGGAATCCCGGAACCTGTTCCACTTGTTAATAACCGTAAAGGGAGCCTCTTCCTACCCAACAACCCCTCGCTGCTGCACCTTAACTTACTGAGTTCTGTTGAACAAGGAAAATCTACCTACTGTAGATTGCAAAGGGCACTCAGCTTGCCTGTAAAATACCGCTACCATTCCCAAAAGCCTGGGCTGAACCAAGATCTCCGTAGGTAGCCCAGTAGTTGGATGCATAAGGCAATACAGAATGGTTTGTGCATGGTTTTGCAGTCTGTTTTCAATGTGACTATGACATTACTAATGCTCTGTTAAGTGCTTACAGATGTGGGTTTCTCCAGATGTGGTGATTAATAAGTTAATTGAGATAGCTGGTTAACTAATGTTTATGAGTGGTTTGTGCTTTACCTTTCAAAGGATTTAATTGCTTTGAAGCATTTACATGCTAGGCAGAATGAACGTACCAGGTATCCCAGTTCATGTGATATTCAGTAATGTAGATGTTATTTCAAATTCCAGCTCTTTATGGCGTCTAAAAAAGTATCTGTAAACTAGTTCAGCTAGTGACCTGGGAGAAGCAGTCAAGGAGACAGTGTTGTTTTAAAAATAGTTAGAAAATAGCAAAGGAAAAAGTTATGAACTTGTCCACTGTTTTGAAAGACTTTCCCTTTGTTTTGCTTTAAAAATGAAATGAAGATAAAAGTCAAGTAATATGTCGTTACAGATGTTCAACTCCACATTAAGGCTGTTAAAATTACCAGCACATCTTAAACCAATTCATGGAACATTGTCTGGAGGTTATGTCATTGAAATAATGAACACTCTTTACTAAAGAATAAGCAAACATGTTAAAACATCAGTGTAACTTTAAATTAAACTCCAGCATAAAAGTGAGCGTCTGAAGCCTCATTAGACTCGCCTGGCATTTTTTTAGCATTGAGTCTTCCTGAACTGCAAAACTGCTATTAGACAAGTGAGCTCTGGGTTGTTACAGCAGTACAATATGTGTTATACTTAGGGATGTGCAAACAAGCTCTTGAATGTTATTAGAACTCAGAAACTGAATTGAGTGGCAAATCTATAAAACTCTGTGTCCAATTCTTGAACTTATTTCCAATTTTCATGATAGTGGCAAAAAAAAGTCTGTGTAACATAATATGGCTGTAGTTAATACAAATCCTGTAGTATAAATACATAAAAAATGGGGACTCCTTAACAAAAACAAACATACAATATCAGAATTGAGTTGTCATGTATCACAGCCCCATTATTCAAATGTTTGTCTTTCATAAGCAAATTTAAGGTTCCCTTTTAAATTAATGCAGACACAGAAACCGTGAACCTAAAATATTTAATAACCTTACTAAAAATTTTGCTAGATCTACTTCTTTAAATAGGCAGGAAAGTGATAGGAGCATCTGAAGGATAATAATTATATGTTTTATATCCTACTTACTACTAAGAAACCACTTGGGAGTTATCACTGCAACATTTTTGGGAACCAAGCCATAGGTAATACTGTCCATTAGATACTATTCACATATTTCAGCTTCATGTGTTCCCATATTCTTATGGAGCTGGGTTGCTAAACTGCAGATGCCCAGGAAACTCTGTGTGGAGATTTCAATGAAAAATAAAACTTGATTTTCTGTCATATGATTAATGTAGTTCTCCTTTCATAGCTACAATGAGAATAAATGGCTTTCTTGGTTAAGCAAAAATTTGAGATCCCTCAGAAGGCTTTGCTAACAGGTATTAACTAGTGAGCCACATCAGCCTTGGACTTTCCAGGCAACTGGTGATAGTAACACAGTTTGAATATGACAAGCACATATCCAAAAAGGAAGCTTATTTATTGCAGATGCAGTACCAATAATAAGTGCAGACTGCTAGAGATGTACTTCCAGAAGATGTTATTCTGAATGATTGCTAGTAAGACTGAAATTGGGTGGCAGGTTAGGGTCACCTGGCAGCACTGGAGAATACAAGTGTTGGACCATAGAGTACAAAAACATCCTTACTGTATTAAATTTCAGAATTTGAAAGGATCAGACAGGATTCTTATTAGCTAGCTGAAAACTTGGAAAAATATTATTTTTTAATATTGTTTTGTCTCATTCAGAGAAATATTTCTGGTTATAATATTGTCTACAGTTGACTTGTGTTACTGTAAGATTTTTGCCCATGGTCCTGATGGCTGTGTATGTTCCTTGAACTGCCTAAACCTGTATAACAATACACTTGTGGTGCCATACTGCATCTCTGGTCAAACATTCTATTATCTCATATGGTAACAGATTAATTTGAGTGAAATTTAGAATTTTTACTCCCAAGAGAGCAAAACAGATAATTTGTTGTTTTCTGGAAGGAGCATTTTGCATGGTTCTTGTTAATTTGATCTTTTAAGTGGTGGAACTGAATATTTATATCCAGTGAAGAACAAGAGAGCACAGTGGATATCTTGAAACCTATTGTCTGTGTGGAATAGCATACAAATAACTTTTCGTTAGAGAAGTTTAAAACCAGACTAGTCCATTTTCAAGAGAATAATTTGAAGAGGGTGTTCTGAAAAGCACAAAGCCTTGCACTTGGTTGCAATCAGAACTGCAAAGTATTACCAACAAAACAATTCTGTGCATGTTCACTTCATGATACACCTAGATAAGTACTGAAGTGATCTAGTTTAATATGTGCAAACTGTCACAGAAAGAAAATTTCAATTTATGTATTTTTGAGAATTTTCTGTGGGCTTATTTATCTCTCAGCCAAAGAATGACATTTGACTAACCATCAATAAGTGTAAATGCACTATAGGACTTTGATTTGGAAAAAGAAAGAAAAGTCAAATGAGAAGAAAATCCTTTGTCTTTCGGGATGCTGCCCAAAAGGAGAAGAAACGTAGTGAAGAAATCATTATTAGACATTCATTGTTCTGATCTAAGTATTATCTGTTACACCACTCTGGCACATTTATTTTGGGATTAGCTTTGTTTGGTTACTTTTGTTTGGTTTTTTTGTTGTTTTTTTTTTATTTTGCAGTGCTTTCTTTGGTTGTGACTCCCTTGTGCTAGGTGATGCCAGGTCATCTAAAAAGAGAGAAAATTCTGTCTTTTCATGGTCCAGCCCTTTGGTATTGATCAAGGCAAAATGAAGTTCCATAGCAGGCTTGGTCAAACAGACAGACGTGGCAGGCTGGAATGCAGTCTGTAATAAAATAGAAAGTAAAATAAAATAAAACCCTCAGAAGAGGGCTATGGCAAAAGGCTATTGCTCCATTTCTTCACAGATAAGTCTGAGGCAGGTGACATATATCTCAATTTTGTTGTTTTTCCTATGTATCTTGTTGTAAGTAGTATTTTTTTTCTCACCCTCTGCTTGGGCACTGCTAATGTGTACTAAGCTCTTTAAATATAGCAGCTTCTACTACTACTACTACTACTAATGCCTTTCCTTTTAGCTTTAAAGTTAAAGCTTCCTAGGCATCAGTTATATTATCTTCCAATTAATTTCTCAGTTAACAGTAAGATGGGAAAAAAAGTTTATTTTTTCTTCTTTATATCACAGTAAATTAGCATTAGCATGAACCTGAGAAAGCAGGCATGAGTTTATTCCCTTTGATAGCACACATAAAGGTTACATACAGATTATAAAGTGCAGTTACAATCTCAAAACAGTAAAGATTATGGTTAATTCTTGTAGATGAGTTCTTAGGAAGCTGCACCTGTTTAAGCAATACGTACTGTGGCGTAAGTTATCCAAGAGTAGTTTATGACTGGCAAAACTGTAAGTGATTTTATATCTGGGAATTGATCTGTCCTTGAAAATGCACCTCATCCTCATTAAAAGATTGCATAACACATGCATCCTCTGTTATACAGGTATTGTCTCCCCACTTCCATTCAACCTCATTCTGTTCACTCCTGTTAAAACTCTGTTTTGTGAGGAGAGTAGAGCGATGAGGTCTGACTTGTGCTGGAGATCCGTGCACAATGGCAGGCTGCATTCACATTCCCGACTAACTGAATCATTGAACATCAAGGCATTGAATATTTTACATCTCTTCATGAAGACTCTGTTGTTTGGCATGTGAGGAGCGAGAACCAACTGGTGTCTAGTTCATTAGCAAAAGCAGGCTGGCAGCTGTTACGTTGATATTGCAAATAGTACTTTATCTGTCTGGGAATACAGCAGAGCACTAATTCTATTTTTCTGTAGCGCAGATTAACTGATAATAACTAAGAATAACCCGAATGTGGTTCCCCCCGCCTTTGTTTTTGAAGTATGAAACCAATTTGAACACCTCTGTTCAAAACCCTGGTATTCTTCTCTGCTTCTCCTTCAAACCAATCTCTTTGACTAACACATATTTGATTTTTATTACTGTTGGGCCTATGTTAGCAATGAAGTATCAGTGCGTGAATGGACATAGAGTGTGTGTTCTTTGCTACTTCACTTGTATTTCACATTGCACTCAGAGCAGTACTTAATCTCATGAGTTCCTTATATTTCCAGTTGAAGATGAGCAGCCGTCGACACTATCACCCAAAAAAAAGCAGCGAAATGGAGGCATGCGAAATTCACCCAACTCCTCACCCAAACTGATGAGGTAAGACTGTAAGAAACTCATATCTTCATCTCCTTTCTTTCTTCCTTCCTCCTCTCCTCCCCCCACATCAAAAATAAGGGGAGGGGGTGAAAAAAAAAGATTGTTAGATGGTTTCTGAAAGGCTGAAGTATTTATTCTGTCAGCTTGTCAGCAGTTAATGATAGAGCTGAAAAAAAATTCTGTCATGAAAAACAGTTTGAAAAGCTGTTTGAAAAATACATAGGCTTTAAAGTCTTAGCTGTCACCCTGTCCTGTCCATGTGTAGTTCTTAAACAGCAGTGGCACTAATGATAGCACTAACCAATCAGGGGAACTCATGTGGTTAGTTTGCCTCAGGCAATTCTCTTTTTGTTGGATTCCCTCTGAGTACTGTTTTCTGTACTTAAGGCCATATGTGAGATGTATCATCACAATCAAAAATGAACCTGAATATTACCTTCCTTTTATCCTGTCGATTGAAATCAAATTTCTGTTAATTGATTTAGACTGATGAAAAAGTCTAATAATATATGTACTTGCCAAAGCAAAGTTCAAAACTAATGCAGTTTTAGTCAAGCTAAAAGCACATTAATTATGAAATACAGGGATTTTTAAGAGGGTAGTATATACTTTAAAAGTGGGTGATGAAAACAGCATCTTGTTAGTGATATTTTCCCCTGTTGTTACGTGTACATTGTTTTACAATAGTACTCCTTTGTATAACTGTGTTGTTTCCTTTAAATTACCTCTAAAATATTTGTTTAAACTAGAACTGCAGCAAGAAGTTGTAATCTATTAAAATATTATGTCATTTCCATTCTATCTCACTGTGCTTTGCCTTTTACCTGCTCAAGTCAGTCAAAATGGGGTCCCATAGTAGACACAGAGTTTTCAGGGAGGCTGTTCCTGCTCTGGTTTTGCATATCCTATATAGCCAGGCTAGACCCTCAGTCCATAATTGTATTCATAAATAGCATAGCAGAGATTTTCCACTCTGTGTGTATATACGTGTACACACACAAACACAGAAAAATGTAAACTTGTTTACATGTATAAAAAATGTAAACTTGTTTACATGTATAAACAGACAACATCCGTGCAATTTGAGATTTATGTGTGTATAAGTGTGCCTGCTCACAGAGGTTAAGTGAAAAAAAAATGATTCAAATATATAGTTATTTCCATAAATAAATTCTCCTATAATTTTTATTCTTGACTTTGATTTTGTTCCTGTAACGATTCTGGATACAGGTAGGTGATACTTCTCTTTGTATTTCAGTCACTAGACTGGAATTTTCTTTGGGCAGTTACAGGAGCATCCATATTTGTTTATTGTTTCTGCAATATAGGGCATATTCAAGGACATAACTTCCACAAACCGTCTTCATCTCTGTTTAGACTACAGAACTAAAAGTGAGATTGATTCACACAGGGAAAATGCACCCAGCTGTGGCTTTTTTTTTTTTCCTATTGACCATCTATTTCTGTTAAAGGTATCATTAAAAGTTCTCTGCCTTCCTGTTAGCTCAGCCTTGCCCATATGACACTGATTTACATGCTTGTTTACAGTTTATGAGGAAGAATAAAATGAGCATACTGGCAAACTTCTCATTTTTATAGTGCCAGTTGTCATGCTAGCATAGTTTTCAATTTACTTACCTTTGGACAGTCCTCTTACCTGGTGCTAATTGTTTTGACTGCTTAAAATTTAAACATGTGGAGATTCCCCCCACTTGCCTTCTTCCAGATTCTAATTTTGGGGAAGCAAGTGCAATAAAAAAGAAGAAGAGAGAGAGAGAGAAAGAGTTGAAACATTTGGAGCTGAACACACTGTCCCTGTTTGCTATGTAAAGTATGCCTCATTTCTTTGATCTTGAGTAATAATAATTCTGGGGAGTTATACTGTTTTCATATGCTTCAAAGCTGTGTCAAAGTTTTGCTGCTTAAGGGTACTTCTTTATTCTATTGGCTCTTGGGTACTGAGATGACAGGTCCTCTGTACTAGGTGCAGGCTTTTTCAAGTCATAGCCTTCAGCAAAACATCAAATTACCAAATACAGGGTAACATACTTCTACACAAATGCCTTTCCTGTAGATATATTATACCATATATATTAAATACTTTAGTGTTACACGGTACATTTTATGTGCAATAGAAAGTGATGGTTTGAGGTAGCCTTAGGGGTACTTTTTTCCACAAGCAGAAAAAGCTAGTGTATACCGTATCAAGTATGGTTTTTACAGGACTTTCTGCCCGAAGGCCTTTGTAAATAAGTAATGATCAACAGATTGGCTGTGGGTTTTTGAAAAGCATGCCTGTGTCAGTTTGCATGATGGGGGAAGATTTTCAAAGTACAGCCTGCTTTCATTGCCTGCTGAAGAGGGACTGAGGGAGAGTAGTCGTCCTGAGCCTGAGCTGTCTGCTCAGTAGCACATCAGAATTGCTAAACACAGGTTGAGCAGTGAGTGGAGAACTTGCCAGGCTTCCAAATCCAGACATTGTTTTCTTCTTCTCTGTTGCTGCTAAATTTATTCTCCAGCCCAGTGTTCGCACCCTCAGCTTCTCCCCAGACCAAACCATCTCTTTGTTTTACTCTTTATCTACACAGACTTAACTTTGGTCCAAGGTGCTAAAAGAGACAAAGTGGATTGAATCAGAAGAGAGCTCTGTTAAGCTTTGTTTGTAATGGTCAAACTATTTTCTCCTCTCTAAAACAAAGGTGGACTGTATTATCTGCTATTTCGTATCCTTGTAAATTACAGAAAGTGACAGGTACTTGCTTTCCTGCCCAGAAATCTTTAGTGTGTGTCAGCTAGAAGTACCCAAGAGGTAAATCAGCTAAAGCACTGTCATGTCTGTGGCTGATATTTATCTTTGGAAGTTTTTTCCTAAATTTACTTTAAAAGCCCCTTGTTCAAGTCAGCTTTGCCCCTGTACCACCTGCCCAGAAATAGCTGGCTACTTTGCAAATTTTTTCTCAGCTGTGATTTTAGATATGGAGGATCTAGAAGGAGTCTGGAAAACAAGAAGTCTGGATTATGAAAACAACAAATATGTGAAAAATTCATCTATAAATTGAATCCGAATTGTGACTTTTGAATTGTTCTGAGCAGCCCTACAGTTAAGATAATGTTAAAAATGCTGCACAAGTTTTAGATGCCCACAGTGGTGAAGGCATCAGGGAAGAGGGTATTGTGCTATGAGACAAAACTTTATGACTTTAAATTGCTGGATTAGAACAGAGATGGAAATGGTATCACAGGGGTTCCCTAGGACCTCATGACAAGTGGTCTGACCTGGTCAGAGAGTGGGGATTTTTGATATTTACTAACACATAAGTAGAAATCTGCATTACCAAATATGATCTGGATAGATAGATTTGAGACATCTTTTTAACGACATCTTTTTGATGACTCTAAATTACAAGAAATTACTAACTGAGAGAAAAAGACAACTGACATAAGAATGCTCTTTGTGTACATCATAGACGGTATAGACTCACATTTGGGAAGCCACTCTTCTAACTGAATGCTGCATCCCATCAAATGGCACAAGCAGAATCACACTGATGCAATACTAGAAGAGTCTGATCAATCAGAAACTAACCTTTAAAATTCCAGCAATACCCACAGACACAAATTAACCAGAAGAATACTCAGCGTTGTCATGACTGGTTTTACCTGTTTTACATCAGCAGAAATCTGTCCCATGAAATCCACAAGAGCATGGATGTTTTTTTTAAATAACTGAAACTCACAGATACTCCTCTCCTGTTAAGATGTGAACACAAGGACATCCTATTACTGTAAAAAGTAAAATTTAAATAGGAAATGGAAGGAAAAGGAAGGCAGGCTGTGACTGGGAAAGTAATCACATATCAGGTGCCCTTCATGAGGTGGAGAAGAAAAGTAGAACTGATCAATGCCTCTGGTATCATGCAGCAATAGCAGTCCCTGTTCATCATCTCAGTTGCAGGTTCTGATGTGCACTATTGATGAGCAGCCACGTTAACTATGAGGAGGCTATGTCGCCTGAATATCAAAGAGCAAAGCTAGTTTTTAAAAAAAATGTGTCATTTTGGATTCAGAATTACCAGTAAAAATGTGAAAAGCCCTGGATATGAATCAAAAAAGCCACTTAAATGATTGTTGCTGAGCCTCAAGTCTATACTTAATGCTTTGGTAGCTGCTACTGCATGAGTGGAATACACTGACTTGAAGGAAATGTCAGCCCAGCTGAGTCAAACTACCTCTTAATGCAAGAACAAATAGCATATGACAGGGCCCAAGGGGCCTGAAGAGCAAACAAATAGTTTGTCCCTGTCCACTCTGGATGTAGTGGTGTAGTTGACATAGGCCTCTAGACAAGTAGCATACTCAGCAAAGGGTCATTATCATTAGTGTCCCTGATCACATAAGAATCAGAGGCATCAGAGGACACTGGGTTTTCAGTGTGTTGCCAAGGAGAATTTCATAAGCCTGAGGATTTTTTTTTTGATCGAGGATCTAAAATAATTCCCAACCAAACAATAAAACTTGCTCAGAAACTGTCAAGACCCAGCTAAATGACAGAAAAAAAGTGAGCTCTTTGGCATACATTTCCAGAAGCCTAATGAGATTATTTATCTGAAGCTGAGGAGGAAACCTCCTGTCTTTTTTCCTGAAGTAGTATATAATATTTTAAGTATATGAACAATGGCTGTGCACATTTATCTTCTCATCCACCCACTAAGCCACATACACTTAAATGTACATACACATTTCTGCTAGTGCCACTCAGCATGAATTTGCATTGCCTCTGCCATCATAGTGCTGCCCTTCCATGAACTGAAACTGTGAGCTTTCTCATAGAAACCAAAAAATAAAAAGTGATGGCAGATCTAGGGGAGAATTTTTCAAGCCGAAACTGGTAAAAAAAGTTGACTCTGATCATTTTCCATGACTCCCTTAAGCCAAACATGAAGGTAAAGTTTGAAAAGGTGAAAGCCCACTGATTAGCCACAATAATGGTATATATTTAT